TTGCTTTTATTGCCGCCATGTGGTTCGCCTAGGCTAATGTGTGAATTACCGTCCTTACGTGTTGGAACAACACTTTCGCTCGTGCCGTTGTTTCCTTTTTATTTCCACTCGACTCTTTTACACTTTTATACATGCGGTCTACCCCTGCCCCCCAACCTTCGTTTTTGGAAAAACCGCCGTACAGCCGCAGAAGAAATCTTTTAAAGTTATCAAAATATACGTGATGCTTGTTTCTTAGCGCGCAAAAAAAAGTGCTGGGAAGTGGTGCAGCCCTCTAAAACTTTTGCGTTTATGTAAAGGAAACTTGGTCATGTTCGGCCGACTGGACTACGGTCGAATGGTTCACCACACTGAGGAGGGGTGGCTCGGGGGGCGCCGGGGCGGGGCGCTTGTCGATACTGATAAAGGCAAGGAGCGCGGTGCTCTCGCTCGGCTGCCTGCATTTCGCTCTAGATTAGCCTTGATGGACGTGCGGCAGTGTATGGCATTGTGGGCGGCAGCGGGAAAAGGGGGATCAGAAAGGGATGACGATCCGACGATCGCTTTTACATGCCCCTACCCTCCCCCCCAATCCTCTTTTTATTCTTTTTATTTCCATCGGTTCATCAATTATTTTTTCTCTCTGATCTTTCTTCTTTTGTCTTTCAACTGTATCAACCCAACTTGCCCTTATATTCGCCCATTTTTTTCCACGCTCTCAACCTCATTCTCTCTTTCTTACCTATCATTCAAAAGACAGAGGTGCCGCTCGCCAGTTTCAATGCTGATCGGCATGCATTTTATGCTGATTCTGATCAAGGAAAGGAAAGAAATAGGCAAGAACTCCAGATTCATTCGCCTGTTTTTATTTTCGTTTTTTGTGTTTGTTATGTCTTCTATTTTCATACACAGAAAAATATTCAAATTTATGTATTTATATTTTGATTTCCACCCCCCACCCCCTGTCCCTTTTCCTCCCTCTTGAAATACACTCCCTTTCCGCTCGTCCCTACGTCCATATGATACAGCCCCCTCCCCCCTCTCTCTCTCGCTCTCGTATGGCCCGCGTCCCCCAAACCGTGTACCCTGTACGAAAAATCTAGACAACGAGGAGGAAAAGAGAAAAATAAAACGACACACATGCGAGAGGGAAGGGAATCCGATAACGGTGTGCGAGTCATAACAAGGCTGCTTGTTGGGCGGTGCCGCCGCTCCACCCCACCGGTGGTGCAGCGTTTGCTCTGACGACGCGCCGCGCCGCCCTCTCGAATGCCCTTTGCCAAGTCTCTCCTGTTTCCTTTCGAGAGTCTCGGCCGTGAACGCAATTACCCCCGCGATGTGGAGCGGGTGCGTCGCGGCTGTAGCTGCCCCCCCTCCCACCTCCTCACCCGTCCCTCCGCCGGCCGCCCTAAACAGAGACGTGACCGTTGGGGACGAAAATGAATGCGGATTATTTCGCTCCGTTTGTTCGCCATAACAGTAATACTAATAATGATCACAATGATGAAGACGACGCGGAGAGCAAATACAATAAAAGGGAGAGGTGCGGGCGTCGAGGGGGGAGAGGGGGAGAGAGAGAGTGGGGGAGGGAGGAGGAGGTGGGGGGCTATAAGAAGATCTGGGCTGTAAAAGCGCCTCTTGCCCCCCCGCGCGAGAGGAGAGGGAAGGGGGGTGGGGGCTGGTGTGGCAGGGCCTGGGGAGGGATGTTGTGGTGCGGGTTGGCGCCATGGTTGCCCTAAAAATCTACTACTACAGGCCCATATCACAATGGAGAGTGCGCGAGCCCTCCGCCCTGCTCCCTTTCTCTGCCCCACGCCCCTCCCCCACACGCGGACAACGCCTGCTTTCGCCTCAACATTCCCGGCCTAGCCGTCTCTCTCTCTCTCTCTCTCTCTCTCTCTCTCTCTCTCTCTCTCTCATCCCTTTCGGGTGTGGTGCATTTTTGGCGGTCGACGGATGGGACGGTCGACCGACCCTACCGACCCGGCGGCGGCGCCGTCCAATCCGTCGCTTTCTTTAGGAACTCCTTCAACTCTGTTCGGGTTCGGAAGAGTTTTACCGTAGCTGTGGAGTTCTCGCTCCCAAAGCGAACAGTTTCTTGTGAAATTCACAAGAAAGGACGTGAAATTTCACGTGCACCAAAACTGCGTATGAAAATCACGTGAAGTTAGCTCAGCTTTTAGTTTTGCAGTTTAAACTGTCATGTTGTTATACAGTTAGATTTGCTGAGTGCGATCATCAGACACTGCTTTGGGTATCGAAGTAGCTCGTTTGTAGGTAGAAATCCTCCGTAGTAAAATTTTTTACCGACAGCTTGTTGAAATGATGTTTCTGGTACCTCCACGCCAGGCGTGTCGAATGTCACAGCGTTGAAGTTCGTGAGATATCGCGAAGCCTGTACAGCACGCCGTCCTGGCGTGCCATCGTGATGTCAGAGCAGGCTGTGCGAGTGCTAAGTAGTTCCAATAGAGAAAACAACATTTTCATGTCTAGTTTCAATTATATATTTGGACTCCGCGCGGTAAGGCTGCGAGATACTGTGCAATTCTCTTAGGCCGCGCTTTGTACGCGAACAACACTGCAGCATCCGCCCCGGTACATTGTCGTTCTAGTCTGGTTTCGGAAGACATTTAGTCTCTGCCACCCAGCATGCGAATAGGTCTTCACCTCTGCCAAACGTCATTCTGAACCTATATTGTCCATAAGGAAAGATTGGGACATTTGGAAAAGACCAGTCGATGGGGGTGTTATTGACCGCGTAAACTCCCTGTAGATAGAAGTCATCAAAGTCTTTACAATTCATTTGTGTTTTAGCCGGGATTCCAATCCTGCATTACCAAAAATTATCAGAAAAAGATTCGTTACGTTACAGTATATCGAGAGCACTAGCATTTAATCACTTACAGGTTTCAATATGCATGCGCCTTTATCGTCTGCTCTCTTCTTAAAAATATGCTCGTAAAATTTAGGGATGTTCGATCTAAGAGCATGACATGCATTTCTTCTAAAAGAAAAGACAAAGTTGTTTTCTTTCCATTGATTGTTTGACCGAAGATCTAAAATTACTTTTATCTGTTATAACAAAGATTAGTTTTGTAATTGTTTCATAATACAAACAAACAAACAAACAAAAAGTTAGTAAAAGCTTTAGAACTTTTTAAGCTTACTAAAGAATTTTGCTTGTAACCTTCGAAGCAAATGCTTTGTACTGCAAAGCATCCAAATCAATCTTAATTCTTTTGAGCTTACAAGCAAAGAATTGTATGATACCAACACTTACAAGTGTGTCTGAAATCACTTATACACACCTTTGTAGGAGTCAATTTTATAGTCTTTTTAATGTGTTTGGATGTCACACACTTCTTTCAGTATTGTCTTAAAGTGGGTACAGAGTTCCCCAAACGCGAGCGCGATTTTCACGCCCGGCTCGATGAAAGTCGGTTCCTGATTGGCTGCGTGAACATCACGCCTGGCGTAAAAATCACGCTTGCGTTTCGTGAACTCTGTATCCACACTTACCCAGCAGCTGTCATCAAATGTTTCATTTACAGCCGTCACATTGCCTGTTATGAGTTGTGCCTCTTTTGGTTTCTGGGGGTTGAAGTGAGAACCACGCAAACGCAATGTCCAGGGAAGCAAGCGGTTGTCTGGTTCACATGTGTAAAAACGTTCGCCATATGTGACGTAAGGGCCCTATTCAGAAAGAAAATTCCACACAATGTGGATTCGTAAAAATGACACTAATTGAGGCCGGCCCATTGTCTTTTAGGCAAATCCGTTCTTTGGGGTGTCGGTTAAGGCACATAGTTAAGAAAATAGTCTGAATTTGAAATGGTCATTTAAAATAAAAAGGTAGTATTGTACTCACAATCACAGTGTTCATTACTTTTCCTTGGATGCCTACCTGGCACATAAGTATCAGGGGCACGAGCAAGAATGGCATGTTGGATCACCGAAGTTCTAGCCGTCAAGTAAACACTATATGACACGTTCATGCCACAGTTGGCTGCCGAGGTGCAGCCCACGGCCACCTCTATGAGACTGTGTGCTGCGGCCACCCGCGGCCAGATCCGACAGTGGCCTGCTGGCGTGCCTCGTTTACAGCCAATTACACCTCGCGTGGATGGAGTAAAGGTGTCCAGGATGCGGTAAAGCAGTAAAGGGAAAAAAGCCTCAGTGGCACTTTGAGCTCACGCGATGCCCGATCTAGTATTGTGTTTACGAACGTTTTTAGACACAACACTCTAAAGTTTTATTAGAAAATATTGCCTTTTCCTTCCTTGCTTGTTATGCCAATGGAATATGTATTGGCTGTTGTAACTAGAGAAATTATTTAGTATTACTAAACGTTTCCCTAGTATGATAATTCACATGCAAAAACATTTAACGAGTAAAATAACTTGTCATAAAGCTAATAAAGGGCGAAAAGCTATATGATGTGACTTTCTTGAGGGAGGCTGTAGGATGAGGCAAGGCCGGGGGGGGGGGGAGGTATACAGAGTTAGACTTGTGAGATACGCCTCAACGCCGGCACTTCACGTCCGTCACGCAGGTGACAGCCCGCTTACAACGTTTATGCGCCGCAGAAAAAAATGTGACAGAAGAATGCTGCGCCACCCTGAAAGCTGGTGCCGCCAGGTCGTGGCGTGTCGGGGCGTCTCGCTCTGCCAATGATTGAATGGATGAGTAGCTCTTGCTTTTTGTCTCTCTCTCTCTCTCGCTCCATCGCCATCTCGCTCTCTCCCGCTGTGGGCTGCTCCGCCGGCCGGGCCGCGCGCCCGCGGGTCGCCGGGTAGGCCGCCCGCTCAGCGCGCGCGTCGGCCGGTCTGCAGCGCCGCCCTCGCAGGCGCCTCGGCGATAGGGGAGAGACAAGGCCGGGCGGGGCGCTCTCTCGCCAAGAACAGAATGCATAAAAATGTAATCTTATTGAGGGCCGCTGTGCCTTATGGATGAAGGAGTCGAGACTTCACTTTCACTTTCTACCCCCTTCCCTTCTCTCTCTCTCTCTCTCTCTCCCCCCCCCCCCCTCTCTCTCTCTCTTTGTCTCTTGGCTCTTGAGGGGCGTGAAGAGGCGTGTCGTCGTGTTTTCGATTGACTCCCGCCCTCTCTACGCTACGCCCCTGCTGCGCATTGCATATGCATGTCGCGGTGATGAGAAGGGTCGAGAGATGAAGGAGAGAGAGAAAGAGAAAGAGAGTGAGATGAGCGCGAGCGGCGAAATGAAAAACAAAAAGACTGCCGACACCGGCGAGTTTATTCATATCATCATAAACATGGAGCCAATCGCTCCGCGTGCGCGTTTGCGGCTGATCTACGCCCCCCCCTCTTTCCCTTCCCTTACATTCCCCATCCTCACCTCCTCGCCATCCTCCTCCGCTTCTCGTGTCCCATTTTGTTTCCCCGGAATTCGAAATACACATACACCGAGGAGGAACGCCCTGCCCGCTTCGCCCCAAACCCTTGTTGTGAGCCGCTGCACTCGCCCCCTGCCGCTCCCCTTCCGTGCGGACTCAAATGCCCTTTAAATAAAGCTCTTCGGATCCGTTTCCCCCTGCAGGACGCATCTGAGCGTAGAATTGCAGAGGCCTATATACAGCCGTCCCCTTCATACGCCATGTCGCCCCCTCCCCTCCCCCTTCCCCACTCCTCCCCTGCATTTTACTTCATCCTCTCGCGGTAGTGTTTCTCTCTGCCTCTCTCTTTGTGCGTCTCTGTGTTTCTCTCACTCTGTCCCTCTCTTTACCCAACGCTCTTCCTGTCTCTCTTCATCTTACTCTATTTTCCTTCTCCCCTCTAGTGTATTTTTTTCTACTTTCTCATGTCCGGCCGGTCAGTTTTGTCGCTTTTTCACGAGCTGCCGGTAGATTGCTGTTCCTTTCGGTTGGCTCGCGGGCCTCGTCCTCCTTCCTTCCCCTCTCCTTTCTCCTCCTCTCCTCGTTCCCCTTCTCCAGGATCACTCGATAAACAGCCTGGTCGTACTCACGGCACGCGGCCGCGTGGCGGTGTCCCCCTCGGAATCACGCTTCTCTCTCATCCATATTCTTTTTCCCATACTTCCCTCTCTCTCCCTCTACACACATAAATATACTTCCACCTCTCTCTCTCTATTTCTCTCCCTCCTCTTTTCTCTCCGTTTCGCCCGCAATGAATGGCTTGTTCGTTGCGGGCAGACACAATAACTTCACGGCCCGGCCCCGCGCCCCGATATGATTTAGGGACGGACCCTAAGGCCACCCCCTTAGTATTGATGCTGCTACGCATTTTTGCGGAACACGGCCGGCCGTGCAGTGCATACACGTTAGGCCCCGGGCAGCACCCCACCCCCTCCTACCCCTAGGGGGGGCTCGGGCTCGCGTGACGTGTCGTTGTCGCTCTAGCGCCAAAACGACCCCCAGACAGCGCCAGCGCCGCCTGCACCCCGCCCCCAGGACCCCGGCCCCCTTTTGGGGGCCCCCTCCTCCAAGCCATTTCTTTCCCGTGTCCTTTTTTTCCGTCCACATATCCCGTTTTCCATTTATTCACTAGAAACACAAGAGGTGTAACCTTTTATTGGCACACCTTTTTCGCTAAAAAATCTCCATTCTCCATGTCACTTGAGGGACAACTCATACTTTAGCGCCCTTTAAGTGTGCAGCTGGCGTATGTAGTCGCAGTTCGTCCGCAAAGTAAACATTTAACACTTTTGTCAAAGAGATTGAGTCTCTCAACAAAGTTTTCCCCTTGTGTTCCCTATTCCATCAGTGCGAATAAAAAGAAAGACCTTGTTTTTAGCGATCTGCACAGGAATACTTATCGACCCATTCGCTTCGGTGTCGCGTTCTCCTGCTTTATCCGCCTGCAGCACATGACCCCTCTGCCTGCACACCCTCAAGCCGACTCTGTCGTCGTCGTGTCGTCTTCCCATCGTGGAGCCCAAGTAGTTCGCCTGGGCTGCGCTGAATGGAAGGCCTCTCGCCTCTACCCGGATCCCGGGTATCGACCCCGACGAGCGTGTAGTGCGCGTGGCTCGACCGGGGGGAGACTGAGAGATGTGCCTCTGTCTGTCTGTCTGTCTGTCTGTCTGTCTGTCTGTCCGTCTGCCCATCTGTCCCAGACACGGCTCCTCTCTCTCTCTCTCTCTCTCTCTCTCTCTCTCTCTCTCTCTCTCTCTCTCCCTCTCTCCTTCTCTCTATCTCTCTCTCTCTCTCTCTCTCCCGCTCCTTCTCAAGCAGTCGCCACAAATTCATTCAATTATCCGCCTTGGGCCGTCCTTCCTCCGGTCACGCGAGGCGCAGCGGGACGCCCCGGGTCGGGTGTCGGGTCGGACTGTACCGGCGCGAGGGCTATGGGGTGTACTGTACCGTTGGGGCTGTAAGACGCACAACACCGCGAGCGTGCGGGGGCGGACCGGGCCGGGCTGGAGGGGAAGGCTGTCGCCGCTACATTACACTACGCACATTTGTTGTTGCCACTTTCCGTTTTCCGCGCGGAATGCGGAAAGGAGAAAGGAGAAGAAGGAGTCGAGTCGAGCGCGCGGTGTGCAAGGAGCAACGGCGTTGCTGTCTGTGTGCTACCAACCCAAAAATGCCCATGGAGCAAAGTGTTAATTTTAAAATTCTGCTTTGAAAAGTAAGTTAATGGCCTCTAATCTCTTTCTTTCAAAAAAAATCCTTAATGTTCCAAAACTTGAAGACTCTTTCCTCAAAAAAATGATTTCGTCACCACACCGAATTTTATTCTCAACACCACTAGC